GATCTACTTTTACAGTCAGGTTCTCTAGTCGGGCAGCAATGTCACAGTGTGGCGGCCCAAATGGGTTTTCCTCTGTGCTGCCAATTACTCTGCTTCCACTGCTTCAGCCACCCCCACAAGGCATTTGCCACCATCCATGAGTCGGTATACAGATAAAGTACTGGCCATTTTTCTCTTTCAGCAATGTCTAAGGACAGTTGGATGGCTTTTACTTCTGCAAACTGACTTGATTTGCCTTGTCCTTCAGTGGCTTCAGTGACTCATCGTACAGGACTCCACACAGCCGCTTTCCACCACCGATGTTTTCCTACTAGATTGCAGGATCCGTCAGTGAACAGGACATACCGCTTGTCATTATCTGGTAGTGCATTATACTGTGCGGCCTCATGAGTGTGTGTCACCTCCTATTCTTCTGGTGACATTCTGAAATTTTTGCCTTCTGGCCAGTCCACGATCACTTCCAAGATTCCTGGGCAATTAGTATTTCCTATTTGAGCCCTCTGTACGATTAACGCAACCCACCATGTAGCATCGGTTGCATGATGAGTAGATGGAGCTTTACCTTTGAACATCCAGCTTGGTACTGGTAATCGGGGTGCCAGGAAAAGCTGTGCTTCAGTGCCCACCACTTCCAAAGCAGCTCAAACTCCTTATAGGCTGCTAATATGTCTTTTTCAGTTGGAGTGTAGTTAGCCTCACAGCCTTTGTACCCTCAACTCCAAAATCCTAGGGGTCGACCTCGGGTCTCTCCTGGTGCCTTCTGCCAGAGACTCCAGGTAGGCCCATGGTCCCCAGCGGCGGTGTACAGTACATTTTTAATACCTTGTCCTGTTCGGACTGGTCCAAGGGCTACAGCATGCACAATCTCTTGTTTAATTTGTTCAAAGTCCTGTCGTCGTTCAGAGCTCCACTGAAACTTTCATCTTTTGTGTCACTTGATAATGAGGGCATACAATCTGACTGTAATCGGGAAAACATGTTCTCCAGAAACTCACAACCCTGAAAAGGCTTGTGTTTCCTTTTTATTACTTGGTGGGGTCATGGCTGTTATTTTGTTGATTACTTCTATTGGGATCTGGCGAAGCCCATCTTGCCATTTAATTCCTAGGAACTGCATCTCTCTTGCAGGCCCCATGACATTACCTCTTGTGATGGCAAAGCCAGCTTTCAGAAGAATTTGGATTATCTTCTCTCCTTTCTCCATGGTGTTCCACTTACAAGGAAATGTGCTTCAGATCTTTTGTCTCTCTCTAACACAATCTGGCCCCATTAAGTTAATTGAGATATGTATCACTAGGTCTGATTAATATAAGATGCAATCTGAAACCCTTTACAAATTAGTACTAGATTATGAGCGTTTTCACATCATTATAATAAAAAATAACCAAATAAGCAAGGGCATTACATTTACTCACATTCATTCAGCAGCACTCATAGGCAGCATTTTGGTCCCAGGGACATCTGTTCTCTGTCGATCATCTCCCTTTTCAGAGGATTGGGCCTCAGAATTCAGCTAATCTGCATTACAAAACTTAAGCAGAATACGTGCATTTGGGTTGACATATGACAGTAGTAGCATTAGGTTTAGTAGATCTACCGTCTTGCACTTTTTAAACTACAGATTATCTTAACTAAGGCCCTCACCAGCATAAACATCACACATAGGGTTACTGCGGCAAAATTAAATTGCTCCCTAAACAGATTTATAAGTGGCATGACTCTCTAAATACAGCCTCTGACAACAACCATAAAGAAGTCACTTGTTACTTCCGAGAGGTTAATTTTTTTTTTTTTAAAGTTTGGGAGGAATTTGGGATTGAACAGGGAGGGGTTGCTCTTAATTCACTCAACTGAGCAGCAGGTCCATCTTCAGAAGACTGCTTTCATTAGAGGAGAGAATGTTATCTCACAGCAGACAGTCACATCCCAGTACAAATAGTCATACCCCAGTTTCTACTCTGTTAACGGACAGCTATTCCTATATTAATTATTTTGTCTTTAAAATGCAGGGTTTATCAGCGTTAGCACAAAGGCTTTGAGCTATGGTGTTTAAATTGCTTTCAAACTGGAGCCAGCTGCAGGAGAAGACATATGATAGCACATGCTATGTAAGCATAGCTGCACAAAGGCACCTGGGGAACAGGGTGGGAGGAAGAGCATGCCCTGACCCGAGGAGATCACTGCGTGCCACACCGTACATTAGAGATCTTTTTCCAGTTCCACCAGCCATTTACACCATAGCCAATCAAAAGAAAACCAAGGGTTCAAAAAAAGTAGGTGCTAGGTACTCCATTACCTAGAGCTATGTTCTGAAGTTTAAGCACCCACAGCATTAAAAATACAGTATCAACTCAGATAACATATGAAATTCAGCACCTAGATTTTTCACAAAAGCCTGTTAAGAGCCTAGAAGCAGCAACACCAGAATTACTAGTGTAATTCACACTGGCATTAGAACTTAATATTTCACAAAAACATTTTACCATCTGCTGAGTGCTGATGTTTCACAACTCAGTGAAATGCAGCAGCCAGAGAAGTCTAGTCAATTGCCTGCAAAATAATTCTTTTCACATGTTACCTTGTGTAACTGATCCGAATTCCTATAGTGTTCCATATGTATGAAAAGGAAGGAAAAAAAGCGCCTGCAAATGCTGCTTGCTGGACCATCTGACAGAACCAGAAGGATGAGAGGGAGGTTAGACAATAGACCCCTATGCATCCTGTGGTAGCTAGCATATTCTTCCCTTTAGAAAAGAGCCCAGGGGATTTACGCCAGGGATGAAAGAAGCAGCAAAAACAGATTAGGAGGCTTTGAGAGTCATTCTTGAAGGGGGGGCAGCTGGTTGGTCTTATCCTGCATTGCTCTAGAAACAGGATAATCAACCAGGCTGTCTGAGGTAATGAGATAGAAGAAAGCACGAACCAGTCAGTCCACACAGACATACAAATTTCTCCTTAACAAGGAGAGAGGATCGCACGCAGTGGGACTCTTCCCTCACTGAAAAACAAGAATTTTGAGCCAGCAGCAAGACTAGCCCCAGATAAATAGAGCCAACTGAAAGGCAGAGATGGATTGCATGCAGCTAAGATCCATCAGGGGACTCCACATCTCCTGGACCAAAGAGAACCTGAGATATCAAAAATTGCTTCTGCTACAAGAACAGAGATGTTTGATTTTTTTTACTTCTCCTTTCCAAGAAAAAAAATTATGTTCTCATTTTGTTCAGATAAGTAAATTAAATTTCTAAAGAAAATAGAAGATCAAACTGTCAAGCTGTCCTATCTCAGAGACAAGATTTTTGTAAGTCTCATGTAAAAAACCAACCTACTTCTCCAAATAAAAGGCAAACTCACTTCTCACGTACACCTGACTTAAGGCAGGGGAGCCATTGATTTTGAAAGAGGAGAGAAACTACTGTGAACTGGCAGCGTCTGTGGAGAAACAGATATTAGAGAACATAATTTTTGAAATCTAGATATTAAACACTGGAGAATTAAAAGCACTGTACATATTGTAGTAAAGAGCAAACCCAAGTTCAATTTATTGCTTCAGCAAATAAATAAACCAGCTCCAGCCCCCAAACAGACAGCTAAAGTGTCCTTCTTAAATACCATTTCCTAGTCACAAATGCAGGAAAAGAACAGAAACAGAGAGTAGAGTATCTCCCACTCCATGGCAAGCCTATTCTGTCACTTGCAAGAAAAACCAAAGGTGAAAGACCAATGGTTTCATCAACTCACTCCTCCCCGCTGACAGTTTGGGTCAGTATCAGATATTTTTGACCCTTCCTCAGCTGAGCTAAGAGTGGCACTGTCACCTTCAGCATTATTATAGCCCTGAGGCTGGTAGAGCATCACAAGAGTCAACTCTGTTCAAAGTCACTGTTCACAATAGACTCCCTCTGGGTGAGCTAAAAGCACCAGGCTCTGAAAATCCAAGTTCATGTACGTTCCTTAAAAGTTTGATGAGGAACTCTTGGCCAGCAGTCCATGCAAATTTATTAGAGATTTTTTATCTGTCTTGTTGTAGACAAATACAGAGAAGAATAAAACTCCAGGTGAGTACAGCCACCTCTACAAAGAGTGGCCCAAGGTGACAAAGTTATATGCACCATGACTTCTACAGACATAAAATGGGCAACAGCAGAGTTTGGGTAAGTCAGCAGAGCTCAGCTAATTCCCATCCTTCTGCAGAGTGTTGCATTTATTATCTTTAATCAGAAGATGTCCTCAGGATTCTTTCTTTTGTTCAAGAGCAACCACAAAAATCTCATGTTCTGAAATTAATGCACTTGTCTAACCTTAAGTAACAAGCAAAAGGGACCAATGCTTATTTAAATATGAGAAGCCACACTACAAGAATATGCTTACATCTGTTTCAAGAACCAACAGCAGAAGTGAAATATTTGAGAATGATTGATTTTATTCACATGCTGGATTATTCAGAAAAAAAAAATTAAAAAGCCAAGAATGACTCTATGGTAGAAAATCCTCTAAATCAAAGTGAAGTAAGTTCTAGTAAGTCCATCGTTTGAGAGCTAAATGCTTTTTGGTATTTTCTATACACAGGATAACACATGCAAATGCATCAAAACATTTTGATGTTAGTGTCTCGCATCCAATGTTGTTTCATGAAAATCTCTGAAGTATTTTTTATTTTATTCAGTGCATTTAGAAAGTGCACATTTTGGTCTTTATGGAAGAAAGTCAAGCTTCAATACTTTTACCTTTTACACAATATGCTGTTAGCTAACAGAAGTTTCTCAGTACTCAACATGTATATCAGATCAACTGAGAAACAGTTTTAATTTTATTCTCATGATTAAGTTACTATAGAATAACTATAGAATACTATATAATACTATAGAATAACAATCAAGTATTTCTTTCAACTGAAACATAGGAGCCGAGTGGCTATGTAAAGTCTTCTTTTTCAATCCCTTTTCCCCATCACCCTAGTAGTGTAACTGAAGAATTAAAGTAATTTAAGTGTCTCTGCACTAAGATGACTCTATACATAAGAATCCACAATCTTCTTGTGTGTCAAATCTATTTCTATTGCCTCCACAGCCCCCATACCAGAACTGACCACACATTTTCTGCTCTTTGTCATAGTACCACTTCAGAACGTAATTCTGACATTCTCCGCTATCTTGAACAAGGTCACATGCATCTGGAAAAGGGAAATAAGAGCTAGATTTAGTGAATTACAGCACTGTAATTTCAGGAAAAAGTAACATTCAGGGCAAACTAGCAGATGAAAGAGGTAGCCAGTGTTCAAGGTCTTACAAAGATTCACTAAGTATTCATCCACAAACCCACAGTGCTGGTGTGGCCTGAAGTCCCTTTTTTTACGATTGATTTAACCAGAAAGAATGTCTGAAACAATTAGATTTTCAGTGGAATAAATAGAAGGAATGCTAAAAGATCTTTAGTCTTCTAACATAGAGTTTTTACTCAAATGATGGTAAAATGGTTATACCCGATCTATAGGGATAAGGTAAATAAAGATTTTCAGAATGTCCCTCTTCTTTATTCCAATTTCTTCTACTGGTATCCATCAGTGAAATTTCATAAATGAACATACACAGATTGTTAAATTATCCATTATAGTCTCTTAGCCAAATCCCAGAGTAATATAGATTTAAATTGCATAAATTAGCCCCAAAGTAGGTAAGAGTAGCATATTTGTAGCAATCTGGTATTCAGTAAGTACAGATCTAATCAGCTTTCACCAATGTAAATTCATAGTTCCTCAAACGAAGTTAGAAGAGCAGCTCTAGACTTTGGTATCTGTATGACATTGAAGGGCAGGCTCTGAGAAGTAAAGCAAACTAATGACAAAACCACCCAAACTAAAGATTTAAAATGACATAACCTCTGCCTCCTAATCAACTAAAAACCAATAATCTCAAACAATAGATCAGTACAAAGTACATCTCTCAAAAGGCAAGTTCTGGAACTGTGCTACAAGTTTTTAAGAGGTAAAATGTTGGGCCAGTAATTACAACTCAGGATTGGGAATTGCAGTTCATTCGTCTGCTGTAAGTGGCTTAAGTCACTGCTCACAACATCAGTGCAATGACCGTGACTACTTCCTCACAGGAAATATTTTATTTGTAAAGTATAAAAAGTAACATATCTTCATGCTACTGAATTTTCTGTGTGACCAGAGAGTTCATGAACTGGTTAACTGGAGCACTGATTCAAGACTGTACACATCCAGTTAGGTGACGGGACCAATTCCATTTGTGCTGAGCAAGTCTTTCAAGCACTGCGGATGTATGGCATTCCCAGAGGTGCATTAGCTCTTAATTAAAGATCCAATGCAAAAGCATTGGTCCTCTCTCATCAGGGATGAAAAACAGAGGGATGGCAGCTGTAGCAATGAGCTACCACACCCAAAGCGATGCAAACACCATTGCATTCTTTCCACAGAAATTCTCTCCTATTGTAAACAAAACTACTCAATAGTGTTAAAAGAATGTTGGTGACAAATTATCTCACAATCAGCTTCCCACATCTATTGTATCAAATGGTAAATCTGGAAAGAAAAATGCATAATTAGGAAGAGAAGTAAAAACACATATATATTTTGATATCTCTGCTGTGGGATCCTGTTCTTCCTACAGGAACAGACTGTAGCAGAGACATATTTAGTCCCTCCATGTTGAGCTAAGTTAGCAGCACCAGTAACTCAGTAATTATCGTGCAACTCGGGGATTTAAAATGATCAGCTGTTTTAGTAAAGGAGATTAGAACTTTACAGTCTATTATTACAGGAAGTTAAAAATCAAAGCTAAAGTCATAATGACACCTGCAGTTCAGCTTTTAATTACAAACTCTTACTATATAGATTTGGACTGAATACAATCATATGGTGACAAAATGCTTTGGAAAATGTAATTAATGGAAATGCTTCATACTGCGTAAATATTCAACTGAGCGCTTCACAACTTAAAGTCTTTTTACTGAATTAAATGAGATTTTCATATTCTAAAATCATACCATCATCACTATAGGCAGCTCTAGTTTCTGCTATTGCCTCTAAGTTTTCCTCGTTCTCCTCCTGAGCTTCTCCATACTCTTGCAGCTTTTCTCCTTCAGCATATTCCTCTGTGAAATACTCATTCTCCTCATAATCGTATCTCATTTCTGGCATTGTGTATACAGGTTCTCTGGTGGTCTCTTTAATACTCTCCTGGACTCTACTTTCAGTTCTTTCAATATCTTCTAAACCATGACCGTAACCAGTTTCATCAGTTCCAGGAAAAGGCATCCTTCCAAGAAGAGTTAAAAAAAAAAGTAAGTACTTAAGCACCAGTATGGCCTTGAAAAAAATGTATCTGGTTCTTATCTTCTGAATACTGTGAAAAAAAAATTTTGATCCTGATTCTATTAAACCCACTTTGAATACAACTACTAACCCAAAGGGAGAAATCTTATGTTCAGAGATACACACTCAAAAAGTTTAATGGACATTTCCAAACCTTTCAATCATAGATACTTGCTGTTCTGCATCTCCCTGATCTAAGTTTTCACACTCTTCTTGAAGTTCAGGTGAAGGATAACTGTTCATTTCTTCTGTGGGGAAAGCACAGATATCATTAGTGAGTTTTAAAGTCCTCCAAACCCCAGTATGTTTAATAAAAAGCACTACATGATTTTTTTTGTTGCAAACTGGAGTTTGCATCTTTCAGTAACTAACACACCATATCTAGAGTGATCAGCACTATGTCAGAAAAATGAAAATCATGTTAAAGATCAGCTAAATGAGATTAACTCCTGAACTAACCTTTTATACTTTTGCCTTGCTCTGTAATACACTATTCATCCTTCTACAGAAACTTTGACATCTCTAAGTACATACTTGTGATGAGGATTTTAAATCAGTGACAATTTCTTTCCTGATATTCTCCTGTTCATATTTCAAAGCACCTAAGACCTGCTAATCTGCATGAACGTGTCTTGAAAAGTGAAGAAGTTCTGTCTCTGCTCTACAGAGGAGGAATAACTGCCGTAAAGAGGTTAGTGCCAAATCTGTTAAATGTTTAAACTTTTATCTGCCCCAAAGCCTAAACAGGCATAAATAGCTCAGTAAATCTGGACCTGCCAACGGTCAGAGGAGAGATGTAGGCCTAAAAAAGGAATGTAACTATGTTCTCTTAGCTGAAGAATGGTCTTTCTTTAGCGAAAGTGGAGTCAACAAAGCCATTAAATACAAACTTAAGAGAAAAAAAACTTACTTAAGACTTTGGCCTAAGGCACCATTAGAATATAATGCTGTTTTGTCATTACCGGCACTTCTACTAGCATCCAGCATCTGCAGCAAACTAAAGACAAACGACTGGCTAGCTAAATTATGACTAGAAACTGAATGACAGCGCATATACTCCAACTACCCTTTTCTACATGGCATTCCTCTTTCTTTCCATAACTTAAGCAAATGTCATCACATGCTACTTACCTTGTAGAAGATTTAGAAATGCCCGGCTAAACCTCTGAGCATATACCATCTCAGACGTTGAAACCCTGCCCAACATCAGTAAGTGCTGGTCTGTGGGGGAGCTTGACAGCTCCATCAGCTGATTGTCACTCACATCATTGCCAAGGGCAAGAGTGAACAAAGTGAATCCTTGGCACTTGGCCCCAAGTGAAATCTCTCTCAGCTTCTCTCTGTCCCACATGCTTGTTTTGCTTCCAACTATTGCAAATATGACCCTGTGTTTTCTTTGTCTGGGGGCTTTAAAGAATACATTTTCAATCGTCCACTGTAGGGCAGAAGCAATGGCTGACGGCCCTTCCAGCTGGTGAACAGACTCTTGGATATGTTTCTTCATCAAATCTTTATTGCTGTATGTGACTAGATCAAACTCCAAGGCCACAGGGCTCTGGTTTCTGTCAGGCAGGAAGCCCCTGGGGGCCTGCTGCACCAGTGCCACTCTGATACCTCCATATGATTCGTTTGGCTGTGAGGAAACAACAAATTGATCTAGCATGCTGCTTATAAAGTCTTTGGCTCTCTGAAACTCTTCACTGCTGATGCTGCGAGAGCTGTCCATGATGTAAGTGATATCCATATCCATCAGAACAGGGGGAGAAGAGGGCACCTCGCAGTTGGTACTTGGTTTGCATTTATCTAGAGAGGAAGAGCCAATAGGCAGCAAATTATTTAGCAATACAACAAAAGCAATAGTTTAGAAAAAAATTCACAGTCCTAGTCATCTATTTTATTTTTCTTAAACTTTTATTTAAAAAATAAATCCATTTGGCAACTTGAAATCTTGTTGTTCTAGTAAGGAATAACAGATGAGTCTTGCTGAACAAGGTCTTGAGATACCGTGGGAAATTCTTCGGGCATGAGAACAAGAAATGTTCATAAATGTTCATAAAACTTAACAGATAAGAGTTCCCTTGAGGAATTTTCTTCTGTCAAAATGTAAACATTGTAAACGATGCTGAAGCAAACTCTACTTTTGATCTCAGACCATTGTTCAGCATCTGGAAATACTATCATTTAGTAGCTTCTCCTCCTCTCACAATGTAGAATTTACAGTAAATGAGCCTGGTTTCCCAGAATCATAATGCTATTTCAAGTGCATTTCTGTTAAAAAGGAAATGCCAAACACAATAAATCACTTCACACGGCTGAGAGAGCAACTAATTAAACAGCTTTTGTAGTTTTGAGATTCTAATTCTTACCATCCACTGAAGGGGAAATTCAAATTGCAACTTCTCAGCAGTGGCAATATGTGACCAAGGAATGATCTGGCATGGAGAGCAAGAAGGCCCAATTGCAGAAGGGGTTAAACTGCCTGGAAGCAGGA